GTGATCCTCCCACCTCAGCCTCCTGAGTGGGTGGGACTACAGGCGTGCACCACCACACTGGCTAATTTTTGTTTTTCCTTTGATTTCTTTTTTTTTTTTTTTTCTGGAGAGACAGGGTTTCACCATATTGCCCACACTAGTCTTGAACTCCTGGGGTCAATCTGCCCACCTCCAGCTCCCAAAGTGCTAGGATTACAGGCGTGAGCCACTGTGCCCTGTTCATTTTTTTTTTTTTATTGGTTTGGACAGGAAGCAGGATTTATTGGTGGGTGTGAGTAAGCAGGGCTCGCCACTATTCCAGGGGCCCATGATTGGGGGTGTACCTGATGCCACAGCCATCCGGGATGAGCTGCTTTTCAGCCACCGTGTCTTCAAATGGATTTGCACTAAACTTGGTAAAGTCCCACCTCCTTGAGATGCGGGTCTTCTGGTGGCCAGGGAACTTGAACTTGGCCCTGGGTAGGGCCTCAATCACATGTTCCATGTTCTGCAGCTTGGTGCAGATGGACGTGATGCCTTAGCCAATGTGAACCCTGGTCACCACACCCTGGGGCTTTCCAAAGGCGCCTTGCATACCTGTCTGGAGTCTAGACTGGGGTGAGGTCAAAGTCGGAAACATGAACATACATTGGAAGGGCTATCTCCAAGGTCCCTTAAGGCCATCCCTACATGCAGCAGGCTGTGTATACTATGGAGGGCACTGCTGTTTGCGGCCACTGCATACGAGGAGGGGAGCACAATTAGCTTGACTGATATTCATATTTAAACCTTGAAGCAAACCTGCAAGTTGCTCTAAGGATTAAACATAAGTATTGGCTGGGTGCGGTGGCTCATGCCTGTAATCGCTGCACTTTGGGAGGCTGAGGCGGGCGGATCACCTGGGGTCGGGAGTTTGAGACCAGTCTGATCAACATAGTGAAACCCTGTCTCTACTAAAAATACAAAAAAATTAGCTGGGCGTGATGGTGCATGCCTGTAATTCCAGCTACTTGGGAGGCTGAGGCAGGAGAATCGCTTGAACCTGGGAGACAGAGGTTGTGGTGAGCCGAGATTGCACCACTGCACTCCTCCAGCCTGTGCAACAGAGGGATACTTGGTAACAACAAAACAAAACAAAACAAAAAAGAGAGACAGGATCTCCCTCTGGCATCAGGCTGGAATGCAGTGGTGTGATCATAGTTCACTGCAGCCTTGACATGCCGGGCTCAAGTGATGCTTGAACCTCAGCCTCCTAAGTAGCTGGGACTGCAGGCACACACCACCATGCTCAGCCAATACATTTTTTCATCTTTTGTAGAGACAGCGTCTCACTATGGTGACCAGGAAACATAGAAAGAATCTTTCTTTCTTTCTGTCTGTCTCTCTCTCTCTTCTTCCTTCCCTCCCTCCCTCCCTCCCTCCCTCCCTCCCTCCCTCCCTTCCTTCCTTCCTTCCTTCCTTCCTTCCTTCCTTCCTTCCTTCCTTCCTTCCTTCCTTCCTTCCTTCCCTCCCTCTCTCCCTCCCTCCCTCCTTCCTTCCTTCCACTCTCTCTTTCCTCCCCTCCCCTCCCCTTCCCTTTGAGCCAGGGTGTTGCTATGTTGCCTGGGCTGGTCTTGAACTCCTGGCCTCAAGTGATCCTCCCACCTTGCCTTCCCCAAAGTGCTGGGATTACAGGCGTGAGTCATCGTGCCTGGCCAGCAAAGGACATTCACGTACCCTTCAAGCCTGGCAGCTTCAGAGATACCGGAGCCCAGGGTCTGGGTCAGAAACACTGAAACACGGTTGCAAACAGAAAGATGCATGGACATCCCGGTCAGGAGGGCCAGGCACACACAAGTCACCCAGTCAGTGCTCACACAGGCCATCCAGAAGTGCGTGTGCACGAGTGTTTGTGTGCACACACACAGCCATTCACGGATCCCAGCGATGACATCCAGGAAGTTGTTAAGGCAGTTGGCCCCATAGATGCAACTACATTACAGAGTGATGGTGATTAAATGTTCACTATCAGCAATTCACCTGATGACCCAGAGAACCCCCACAGATTAAACAAACAAGCACACAAACAAACAAACAAAAAACCACAAAAAACAAACAAAAAACACCTCCGTGCTGTGGTTTGAATATTTTTTCCTTCAAAACCTCATGTTGAAATTTGATCCCCTCACTGGAGACCAGGTCAACGTTGCAGTGAGCTAGGATCTCCCGCTGCACCCCAGCCTGAGTGATAGAGTGAGACTCTGTATCAAAAAAAAATGAAGAAATTTGGACCAGGTGCAGTGGCTCACACCTGTAATCCCAGCACTTTGGGAGGCTGAGGCGGGCGGATCATTTGAGGTCGGGAGTTCGAGACCAGCCTGGCCAACATGGTGAAACCTCATCTCCACTAAAAATACAAAAATTAATTGGGCATGATGGTGCGTGCTTGTAATTCCAGCTACTCGGGAGACTGAGGCTGGATAATTGCTTGAACCTTGGAAGCAAAGGCTGCAGTGAGCCGAGATTAGGCCTCTGCACTCCAGCCTGGGTGACAGAGCGAGACTCCGTCTCAAAAAAATAAAACAAAAAATTTTATTCCCAAGATTGGAGGTGGGCCTAATGTGAGGTGTGTTTGGGTCACGGGGGCAGATCCCTCATGAACAGATTAATGCCCTCCCTGGCAGGTGAATGAGTTCTCCCCGTTAACGCCCATGAGAGATGTATGTTAAAAGGAGCCTGGCACTTTTCTCTCTCTCTCTCTCTCGCTTCCCCTCCTGCCACGTGATCCCTGCACACGTGTGGTTCCCTTGGCCTTCTGCCATGAGTAGAAGCAGCCTGAAGCCTTCACCACAAGAAGCAGATGCTGACACCATGGTTCTTTTTTTTTTTTTTTTTTTTTTTTTTTTTTTTTTTTGAGACGGAGTCTGGCTCTGTCACCCATTCTGGAGTGCAGTGGCGCGATCTCGGCTCACTGCAAGCTCCGCCTCCCGGGTTCACGCCATTCTCCTGCCTCAGCCTCCAGAGTAGCTGGGACTACAGGCGCCCGCCACCGCGCCCGGCAAATGTTTTGTATTTTGTAGTAGAGACGGGGTTTCACCGTGTTAGCCAGGATGGTTTCGATCTCCTGACCTCGTGATCCACCCGCCTCGGCCTCCCAAAGTGCTGGGATTACAGGCGTGAGCCACCGCGCCCGGCCACCATGGTTCTTTGATTTATTTATTTTTTGAGACAGGGTCTCACTGTTGCCCAGGCTGGAGTCAGTGGTGCGATCATAGCTCACTGCAGCCTCGAACTCACAGACTCAAGCAATCCTCCCACCTCAGTCTTCCGAGTAGGTGGGACTACAGGTGCCTGCCACCTTGCCTGGCTATTTTTTTTTTTGTACAGACAGGGTCTCACTATATTGCCCAGGCTGGTCTCAAACTCCTGGTCTCAAGGGATCCTCCTGCCTTAGTCTCCCAAAGTGCTGGGATTACAGGTGTGAACCTCCATGCTTGGCCTCGATTTTGGACTTCTTATGCCCAGAACTGTAAGAGAATAAATTAGCATTGTTTGACTGTCACGGTGGCTCACACCTTTTGTAATCCCAGCACTTTGGGAGGCTGAGGTGGGTGGATCACCTGAGGTCAGGAGTTCCAGATCAGCCTGGCCAAACTGTCGAAACCCTGTGTCTACTAAAAATATGAAAAACTAACCGGGTGTGGTGGTGCAGGCCTGTAGTCCCATCTACTTGGGAGACTGAGGTAGGAGAATGGCTTGAACCAGGGAAGTGGAGTTTGTCGTGAGCTGAGATTGTGCCACTGCACTCCAGCCTGGGCGACAGAGTGAGACTCTGTCTCAAAAAAAAAAAAAAAAAAAAGTTAGCATCATTTCAAGTCACTGAATTTGTGATTTGTTATAGTGGCAACAGGAAACCATTACAAACCCCAACTGACACACAGAGACATACCCCAGAGTCAAACTACAGATGTGTGGCTGGGCATGGTGACTCACGCCTGTAATCCCAGCACTTTGGGAAGCGAAGGCAGGCGGATCGCCTGAGGTCAGGAGTTTGAGACCAGCCTGGCCAATGTGGCAAAACCCCGTCTCTACTAAAAATACAAAAATTAGCCAGGCGTGCTGGTGCGCGCCTGTAGTCCCAGTTACTTAGGGGGCTGGGGCAGGAGAATCTCTTGAACCCAGGAGGTGGAGGTTGCAGTGAGCCGAGATCGTGCCATTGCACTCTAGCCTGGGCGACAGAGTGAGACTCCGTCTCAAAACAAAAAAACAACAAAAAAACCACAGATGTGGTCCATTAGAGAGGCCCCCTGGAACCACTGAGTAAAAGTGCCTCACGCCATGTGAGGCAGTCACACCTCAACAATCACAGCATCACCCCAGATTCAATGTTAGGAACACTCCCAAACACCACACACTCGGCCAGCCAGAGACGACTGGGGCTGAAGTCAGCTGTGGGTTATCACCGGGACCCCCACACTACAGAAACACATATGCCCGGGCTCACTACGGAATCCAACAGGGTGCCCTGGAAAGATATCACACACTGGCCAGGTGCGGTGGTTCATGCCTGTAATCCCAGCACTTTGGGAGGCTGACATGGGAGGATCATGAGGTCAGGAGTTCGAGACCAGCCTGACCAACATGGTGAAACCCCATCTCTACTAAAAATACAAAAATTAGCCAGGCGTGGTGGTGCACGCCTGTAATCCCAGCTACTCAGGAGGCTGAGGCAGGAGAATCGCTTGAACTTGGGAGGCGGAGGTTGCAGTGAGCCGAGATCGTGCCACTGCGCTCCAGCTTGGGTGACAGAGCAAGACTCTGTCTTGGGGAAATAAAAAAAAGATACCACACACCATGTTCTCCTTAGAAACAATGGCACAGTGACAATGATGGCAACATTCACAATCAAACACACCAGAAATCCCAGAGTGATACACAGGAGATTGTCTGTCTGAGACTCACAACATCACTCTGGGAGTCAACTGGATTCAGTGTACTTCCGCCAGGTCCATCTCATGAAAGAGGCCCATGCACCCAAGGGATATGGTACAAAAATAGTTTATTACAAAAGAAATCCAACCAAAATGCTTAATAATTTACATCGTGATCCGTGTCCGTTACAGCCCACCTCTCCCCTCCTCAGTTGTCTGGTAGAGTGTGGAGGGGAGTGGCTGTTCCCTGGGTCCACCAGCTCTGGGAGGGGACACGGAAATGGAAGATGTGGGTGGCATTCCGGACAGGGACTGGTGCCTGAGAATACTGGGGTCAGAGTTCTGGGCAGGGAGCGAGATGGGGGAACTGTGCTCAGAAGAGGGGCTGTATGGGTAGGTGCATGTGCTTCTGTGCAAATCCTGGTCCCGAAGATGGGGGGGGGCAGAGTGAGATCTTCACAGTTTCCAGAAGGGTTGACCCCACAGGGCAGGGGGCCCCTCCTCATGAGTCCAAGATCTGCCCCCCCATCCCCCTCAGCTGCCTCCTGGAGCTGGGGAGGAGGGCACCGGCCGGCCAGGGCCTCGGAGGACCCCGGCAAAGGGCAGGAAGGCAGGTGGAGATGGGGAAGGAAGGAAGAAATTGGGAGGAGCCATGGGGAATCCAGGGGGGTCCTTGGGGGGAGACTGGGAGGGTGAGGAGGACGGTGATGCAGAGAGAAGACCTGAGGAAGGAAGAGAGACAGAGGGGGAGGGTGGTGAGAGGCTAGACCCAGAGAGCAGGGGCTGGGGCCTGAGATCTGGGTCTAAGGGAGGAGGGACTGGGGGTCTGAAGGAGGAGGGGCTGGGGGTCTGGACTCTTGGATCTGAGGAAGGAGGTGCAGGAGGTCTGAGGGAGAAGGGGCTAGGGGTCTAAAGTCCTGGGTCTGAGGAAAGAGGCATTGGGGACCTAGACTCCTGGGTCTGAAGGAAGAGGGGCTGGGGGTCTGAAGGAGGAGGGACTGGGGTCTGAAGGAGAAGAGGCCAGGGGTGTGGACTTCTGGGTCTGAGGGAGGAGGGGCTGGGGGTCTGAGGGAGGAGGGGCTGGGAATCTGGATTCCTGGGTCTGAGGGAGGAGGGGCTGAGGTTTGAGAGAAGAGGGACTGGGGGTGTGAGGGAAGAGGGGCTGAAGTCTGAGGGAGGAGGGGCGGGGGGGGGGTCTGGTGGAGGAGGGGCTGCGGTCTGAAGGAGGAGGGGCCAGGGGTCTGGACTCCTGGGTCTGAGGGAGGAGGCTAGGGGCCTGGAATCTTGGGGCTGAGGAAGGAGGGGGTACGGTTTGGGATTCCTGTGTCTGAGAGAGGAGGCTAGGGGCCTGGACTCCTGGATCTGAGGGAGGAGGGGCCGTGGGTTGGGATTCCTGGGTCTGAGGGAGGAGGCGCCAGGGCTGGAGGTTGGGAGCGGTTTCTCACCATTGGAGCTAAGGCGGCTGCTGCTCTCGGGGGAGGTGTTGGCGCTCCGGTCAGGGGAGGGGTCTGGCTGGGAGGTGGAAGCAGGCCGGGCGGCCTTCCCCCTCAGGATGTCGATGACCTGTAGGAAGATGGGCGTCACCATAGAGCCACCCCTGCCTCACAGCCCTCTCTCCTTCTATCCCTCCTAGCTCACAGGATCCAGATGGTGGCCTCTCCATCTCTCAGTAGGAAAAGATGGGCAAGGCACTTCTTTTCTTGGTGCCAGTCTCTCCTCATTTCTGGAACTCACACCCTCGCTCTCAGAGACTCACCCACCCCCCACCACGCAGCGGCACAGACACCCTCACACCTCTGCGCTCTGGCACACTCTCCTGCCACCAGCCCGCGGACACACGTGTGCAAGGGGCATGCCCACAGCCGCCCCGGCTCACCCTGCGGCTGCGCGCCACCATCAGCGGCGTGTCGTTGTGGCAGTTCTTGAGGCTGCTGTCAGCGCCGCTGCGGACCAGTGTGCGCACCAGCGGGAGGAGCCCGCGGCCGGACGCTGAGTGCAGCGCGGAGCTGCCGGAGTACATTTGTGCGTTCACGTTGGCGCCGTGCTGCGGGGCGGGAGGGCCGGGTCAGGAGGGCGCGCGGGTCACCCGGGGCAAGGGAACAGAGGCTGGAGGCCCGGGTAGGTGGCCGGCACGTTGGGCGACACCGGATGGGGTGGGGTCACAGGAAGGTAGGAGCGACAGCCAAGGGCGGGCCAAGCGGGACTGCGCTGGCGGCGCTGAATGAACCGGAGCTGGACACTGAGGCCCGCGCCCCAAGGAGTTGGGGGGGCTGGAGGGGGGAAGGACAATGCGTGGACAGGGCCTAGCTGGAAGGTGGGGTCGGCCAGGCCAACGCAGGGCGGGGCCTAGGCTGTTGAGGGGGCAGGGGAGGAATGGGACATGTTCGTAGCCAGGGGCGTGGAGTGGAGTCCGAGGGTTGAGAGAACTAGGCCTTAAAGGAAGAGTGAGAGCTGGACGCGGAGCAGGAGCAAGAGCCAGAACTGGAAGGCGGGGTCAGAGGTAGAGGCTGGGGCCAGAGCCGGGTTGGGGTCAGAGGACAGGGTGGGCGCGAGGCTCAGGGGGCGCTGTACGCACCTGCAGCAGCAGCTGCACCATGCTAAGGCTGTTGTTTTCCACGGCGTGGATGAGCGGGGAGCGGCCGCTCTTAATGTCCTGCGGCGGGGAGGGAAGGTCTTTGAGTTTCTCCAAGCTCTGCTCCAGCAGCTGGCGACCCGCATCCCGACCGCATCCCATTCGTGGGGTCCAGCTTCTCTCATGGGTCGGATACTCCAAGCCCCGCCCCACGCGGGCGCTCTCCCACGCCAGCCCCACACTGGCCCCGCCCCCGACAAGACCCCGCCCCTGCTAAGGCCCGGCTCCCTCCCAGCTCCTAGTGCGCGCTCACCACGGCGTCGATGTCGGCACCGCGCTCCAGTAAGAGCTGCACGGTTTCTTGGCACTCTGTGTTCACTGCCACGTGCAGGGCGGTGAGCCCTGAGGGAGGGGAAGGCTTGGTGAAACCTAGGCCTGGGGCTTTGCGGACGCTGATGGACTCCAGGTCCGCTGGATAGCCCAGCCGTGCCCCGCGGTAGATACTTACCGTCGTAATTGCGGGCCTCCAGGTCCAACGTGCCAGGAACTGCGCTGTCCAGCAGGGCTCGCAGGCAGGTTGGGCTGCGGTGCTCGCACGCCAGGTGGGCGGCCGTCTGGCCATGGCGGTCCAGCGCCATGGGGCTGGCACCAGCTGTCACCAGGAGCCGGACCACAGACGGTAATGTGGTGATCACAGCCAGGTGGAGCGGTGTCTGGGGAACAGTGACTGTGAGGGACCTGTGTCCAGCCCTGCTCTCTAGTTCTGCCTCCCTCAGGTTTTCTGAACCCTTACTCCTCATCCTGCAGTCTTTCCCAGGAACAGAAACCTGAGACACCTCCTGTCTCAGATTCAAGAGTGGGGGACCCATGCTCCTCCTTCCCCAGGACCCAGAAGACTGGGCCTCCAACCTCCTCTTTCCCTAGTACCGGGATTCTGGGTCCCCAGCCCCCTCCGTCTTCATCTAGGAGGTCTTTAGGCTCCCTCCCTCTCAGGAACAAGGAGTCCAAGACCCAGAGCCCTTCTTCCCCAGGAACCGGGAGCCTGGAGCACCTCGCTACTTAGAGTCCAGACCCCCAGCCCTCCTCCCTCAGACCCAGGAGCCCAAGCCCCCAGCCCTCCTCCCTCAGACCCAGGAGCCCAAGCCCCCAGCCCTCCTCCCTCAGACCCAGGAGCCCAAGCCCCCAGCCCTCCTCCCTCAGACCCAGGAGCCCAAGCCCCCAGCCCTCCTCCCTCAGACCCAGGAGCCCAAGCCCCCAGCCCTCCTCCCTCAGACCCAGGAGCCCAAGCCCCCAGCCCTCCTCCCTCAGACCCAGGAGCCCAAGCCCCCAGCCCTCCTCCTTCAGACTCAGGAGCCCAAGCCCCCAGCCCTCCTCCTTCAGACCCAGGAGCCCAAGCCCCCAGCCCTCCTCCTTCAGACCCAGGAGCCCAAGCCCCCAGCCCTCCTCCCTCAGACCCAGGAGCCCAAGCCCCCAGCCCTCCTTCCTCAGACTCAGGAGCCCAGGCCTGCAGCCCTCCTCCCTCAGACCCAGGGGTCCAGGCCCCAGCCCCTCCTTCCTCAGACCCAGGAGTCCAGGCCCCCCACCCCTCCTCCTTCAGACCCAGGGGTCCAGGTCCCCAGACCCTCCTCCCTCAGACCCAGGAGTCCAGGCCCCAGCCCTCCTCCCTCAGACCCAGCCTCACCTGCCGTAGGTTGTTGTAGATGTCGAGCTCCCGGCCCCCCTGCTGGAAGAGGTTGACCAGTCGGTGCACAGCTGGCAGGTTACCCTGCACCACAGCAATATGGAGAGGCCTGGGGGTAGGGGAATGAAAGAATCACAGGCATTATGAGCTGTTCACCTCTCACCCTCATGCTGTTGGCAATGATAACTCCAATGTGTTGAGTGCTTTGGAAATGTCCCCAGTATCCAAACACTTCTCCCCACACACTCCTTCCATCCATCCTGATTTACCACCCACTCCTTCCCTCCTGCTTTAGCCACCACTGGCTCCCTGCTGGTCTAGCACAGTTCCATCCTCATGGTTTTCCTGATTCCACCTATGCTCTACTGTCTGTCCCCCACACAACAGCCACAGGGACCCTTTTGTTTTATTTTATTTGTTTGAGATGGAGTCTTGCTCTGTCGCCTAGGCTGGAGTGCAGTGGTGCTGTCTCACGCTCACTGCAATCTCTGCCTCCCGGGTTCAAGCGATCATCCAACCTCAGCCTCCCGAGTAGCTGGGATTACAGGCGTGTGCCATCACGCCCAGCTAATTTTTGTATTTTTAGTAGAGACAGGGTTTCACCATGTTGGCCAGGCTGGTCTCTAACTGCTGGGTTCAAGTGATCCTCCTGTTTCAGCCTCCCGCAAGTGCTGGGATTACAGGCATGAGCCACCATGCCCAGTCTGAAACAAAAGTTTTGACTAAAAGGGAGATAAGGACAAACTGGGATGGGGCCATTGTTCTGGAGGCTATACAGCCCAGAACCCCCTTCCAGACTGAAGGACTTACTCCCTCAGCTTCTGGGAAGATCATCAGCTTTCAGACCATTTGGGAATTACCCTCAGCTGAAGAGAGCTGCTTGCCCAAGGTCACGCCCCATGTGAATCAAGAGCAGTTGCCCTTCAATGGCATCCAGTCACTGGTTAATGCCAGTGTAGAAGGCCTAGCCTCCTGACCCCAATGCTGAAGGCCATTCCAGCTTCAATATTCTCTGTGGGATGGCTGAGGCCGCGCAGAGGCGACACTGCAGCTCAACTTCTCCTTCTGCCCAGATGGGCTTCCTTCATCCCACAGGTGTTGATGGAGAGCATTTCCAAGGAACTTCCTGCTCAGTTTCCAGAGACCCCAACCTGGAACAGCTATTTGGAGACTGATGTGTGTGTGTGCGCGCGCGCGTGCGTGTGCACACCTGTGCATGTTTGCTTGGGATGGGGGACAGAGTGGAGGACCCAAGGAGGCCTGTGTGTACACAGTGGGCGGCAGGATCTTTATTTAAAGTCTGTTTACTGAGTAATTCCTTTCTCACCACCACTCGTCTCTCTCGTGGAATGTGTCTGTAGAATCCAGTTTAAACCAGCCTCCCAGGTGGTTCTGATGGAAATGAAGAAATCCTGGGGCCAGAGTTGCAAATTGGGCCACAACCCCTCCTAGCCTAGCCGTGTGCTAGGGCAAAGCCATGGCGGCCTTTTGGAGCCTCAGTTTTCTGCTAGGTGAAGTACAGCGCCCACATGCCAGGGTGCGATCACGCAGGTGAATTGCTGAACCTGACTCCTAATTCGTGAAAAACCAAATTTAAAAATAAAACGTTGAGGGAGGGGCCGGTGTCCCTGGTAAGGCTCCTCGCTTCTCTGCATCTCCCAGGACCCCTGGCCTAGGTCCCTCTCGGGGCGGCCAGGGTTAAGTGAGGGCAGACGGAGCGAATGATTTCAGAGAAACCGTCCAGGCCTGAGTTCCCATAAACGCGCGGGCCGCAGGGGGTGGGGCGGGGCTGGAGGAAGTGGGGACGGGAGGGGCGACCCAGCCCTCGGACTTCCAGTAACAGGTCTGCTGGGCGGGGCTCCGCTTCCTGCTCCCGGGGGAGGGAAGCCTGTCCCGCCGGGGATCTACCCTGGCCACCCCCGGCACCCCAACTTTCATCCTCGAATGGGGCGGGGGAAAGGGGAGCCCAGCCAAAGAAGACCTAGCTCCCTTGAGGTGTGTGTGTTGTCGGGGGGGCATATAATCCCGAGTCCTCCAGCCTGGGGGACCCTCTGGAACTCCACCCGTTAGGGTTCAGACTCCAGCTGGCTGCAAGTCCTCCTTATCCCGGCATCCACTCCCAACATCTCTCTGGGAGCCAGAAATAGCCCTAACTCTTCTTTAAGAATAAGGACGTCCCCCGTCCTTCGGAGCTCCAGGATCCCAAACTACCTTGCCTGTCCTTGTCCCCTCAGAGACCCAGAAATACAGCGCCTCAATCCCTGCCCCTTTGGGGACACTGACTTTCAGGCCCCTCGGCGTGAGCAGTTTCACCCGCCCAGCGCTTAGAATGTCCTGCCGCCGCTGTCGTGAAATTCTTAAGTTTTGAGCAAGGGACTCTGCAAATTTCTGTATCTGGTCCTGCCCCTAAAGTCCCTCTGAGTGCCAGGTCCCCAAGCTGCCAAGCTGCTCCTCATCCCCTCGGAGATTAAGGAATACAGTTTCCCAACTTCTGCCTTCTGAGACTCAGAACATCCCCCCCACACCGCCCCCCGTCATCCCGCCCCCTCCCCAGGTTTCTAGCTGCCCAGTCCCTAACCTCTTGGGGGTCCAAATGCCCCAAGGCTCGTACCCGCCTGTGAGAAGATGCAAGCCCAGCCTCCCAACCTTTTGGCTTCTGCGGGGACCCAGACTTAGCGTCCCCCGCCCTCCTCGCCCCCACTGCCCGCCCCCGCGGGTGTGCAGTGGAGCCGGTGGCGCAGGCTGGGGCCGGGCCGCTGCCCGTTCCGGTAAAGTCTCAGCCCCAGCGGAAGGGGTTAAGGTTGGAGGAAGCGCCAGGAGGGGGGAGGCTGCGAGTGAGTGACGGGTGCTGACGTGGGGGAGGCAGAGCAGCTGGGTTGCGGTCAAGTTCTGCGGGAAGGGATTTCCCCCAGCAGGCAGCTGAGGCAGAAGTGTTTGCCTTGGGGGAGAGTCGGGGAGGGAAGGTGGGGGGAGGGCCCGGGACTGGAGACTGGTGGGCCGAGCGGCCTCTAGCAAGCACACTGCTTTTCAACGGCATGGAGAGTTCACCCCTGGGGGCAGAGACTAATTAAGTCCACTTCATAGATGACCCCCCAGAGGTACCTAGAAGGGGAGGGAACTAGGTTTTATTAGCTCTTTATAATCTCAGCCACTTTCTCCTGCTAGGGCTCTCAAGATGGCCTGCAACCACCCTGGGAGCTCTGCTCAAACACCACCCATTTCCATGCATTGAGCACTCACTCTTTGCCCAGCCCTGTTCTGTGCACTGTATTAAAACATGTATACAAGATCTCACTGAATCCTAATTGTGATAGGTGCTATTATGAGATCCAGTTTCCAAATAGGGAAACTGAGACTCAGTGACATGAAATCACTCAGTGGGCCAGTGGCGGAGCAGCCCCCCTGCTACTTCTCTGCAGAAGTAGGCCTGTTCATCTCTACCTGTGGTTTCCAGGCCCCAGACTAATTCTCACATAAGCGCTTTCTATAAATCATGTCATTTCTTCCTCCCAGAGACCCTCACACGTGATGGTTCCTGTTTTTACAGAGAGGGAAACTGAGGCATAGAGTGAGGAGAAAGTGGCCATGCTGAGATTCAAACCCAGGTCGATAGAATAATAAGAATCATGATGATCAATTGTAGTGAGTGCTTACTATGTGCTAGGCACAGACTAAACCCTCCTGTGCAACACTTCTCAGCAGCCTCACAAACATGTTCTTCAAACTGCAGGTGATAAACCGTGGGGGTTATGAAATCAGTTTAGGGGATCTTCAAATTAATGTAGTGGGCTGTGACCACAAAACAATGAAGTCGACTAGAATAGAAAATGGCAAAGTAAAGCTGTAAAGCTGGGCTCGGTGGCTCGCACCTGTAATCTCAGCACTTTGGGAGGCTGAGGTGGGAACATGACTTGAGCCCAGGAGTTTGAGACCAGTCTGGACAACATAGCAAGACCACCATGTCACTACAAAAAAAATATATATATATTAGACAGGTGTGGGAGGAGTGCCTGTGGTCCCAGTTACTCAGGAGGCTGAGGCGGGAGGATCACCTGAGCCCAAGAGATCAAGGCTACAGTGAGCTATGATTGCACCACTGCACTCCAGCCTGGGTGACAGATCGAGACCCTGTCTCAGAAAAAAAAAAATAGAAAAAAAAAAAAAAAAAAAAGAAAAAAAGAAAATGTCAAAGTAGAACCCACATAGTAAGGGTGAGTATTGTTTCATTTTGTGCAATTTTAATTTCAGGTTTGTGTGTGTGTATGTGTGTGTGTGTGTGTGTGTGCGCTGGGTTTGAGATAAAGTAATAGTAATATTAACAAACACTCAACATTTATGCCAGGTCCAGTGATAGGAGTTTTACATGTATAATTCATATAGTAAGTTAATCAATGAACTGTCTTTCTTAAGTTGTGATAAAAAATCTGAAGACCACTGTTCCAAAAATGGTGTTCTAGGGGTGGGCTTGGGGCTCATGCCTGTAATCCCAGCACTTTGGGAGGCCAAGGTGAGTGGATCACTGGAGGTCAGGAGTTGGAGACCAGTCTGGCCAACATGGTGAAACCCTGTCTCTATCAAAAAATACAAAACTTAGCTGGGCGTGGCAGTGGGCACCTGTAGTCTCAGCTACTGGGGAGGTTGAGGCACGAGACTTGCTTGAACCTGGGAGGTGAAGGTTGCAGTATGCCGAGATCGTGCCACTGCACTCCAGCCTGGGCGACAGAGTGAGACCCTGTCTCAAAAATCAAAAACAAAAACCAAACAAAAATAGTGTCCTAGGAAGTAAATGCTTTCCGGGTGCCCATTATTCAGAGGAGGAAACTGAGGCTCAGAGAGGGGAAGGGCCTTATTCAAGGTCACACAGCCTGTGGTGGAGACCGAGTTCTGACTCAGGTCCACGGGAGCTGAGTGGCCCTGTGTTATGGACAGCTGGTCTTCCCAACCACCCCTCCCCTTAATAGGGGACTATCACTCACGTGTCTCCGTCCTCATCTGCTCGGGTGGCCATGGCGATGTCAGCAGAAAGGGGGTGTTCCATGGGGCACATCATGGGGTACAGGGGTGTAGGCAGGTTCACCAGAGGAAACGGGGAGCCCATGGTCCGAGTGGGGTACAAAGGCAGTAAGGCTCCTAGGCAATGGAGGACAGAGGAGGGACATGGGTGAGGCCACACTCACAGACCCTCAACCTGCTCCCCACTTCTAGATCGCTCCCTACTTCTAGATCTTTGCTCCTGCAGTGTCACCTACCTTTTCTCCCAGGTCCCTTTTGCATCCTATACTGGGTCCTCAGGGCCTAAAACAAACCCCCTTCCACATCCCTCCTCTGGGCTCCGGCAGCTTCCTCTCCCTCCAGGGCTGGTCACCCTTATTGTCACTTATCTTCTGACCCCAATCTCCAATCAGACAAAGGGTCCCTTAAGAACAGAGGGCGCACCCATCATCACCTAGCAGGGAACCCGAGGGACTGTCTGCGGAGTGATTGTGTGGCTGATGAAGAGCTGGGTGCAGGGTGTGGGATAAATGTAGAGTGGGTTTGGAGAGAATGGAGGGAGAGAGGAGGTGTCACCAGAAGCCTGTTCAAACTGTTTTTGAGATGGAGTCTTGCTCTGTTGCCCAGACTGGAGTGCAGTGGCACGATCTTGCCTCACTGCAACCTCCGCCTCCCAGGTTCAAGCGATTCTCCTGCCTCAGCCTCCCAGGTAGCTGGAATTTCAGATGCTCGCCACCACATGTGGGTAATTTTAGATCAAACTGTTAAAAAAGGGGCCATGGCAGGCCGGGGGCAGTGGCTCGTGCCTCTAACACCAATACTTTGGGAGGCCGAGGCGGGTGGATCACCTGAGCTCAGGAGTTCAATACTAGTCTGTGCAACATGGTGAAACCCTGTCTCCACTAAAAATACAAAAATTAGCCAGGTGTGGTGGTGCATGCCTGTAATCCCAGCTACTCGGGAGGCCGAGGCACAAGAATTGCTTGAACTTGGGAGGCGGAGGTTGCAATGAGCTGAGATCACGCCAATGCACTTCAGCCTGGGTGACAGAGCAAAACTCTGTCTCAAAAAAACAAAACAAAGCAAAACAAAAACAAAAGGCGGGGGACCACAGCAGCAGGCAAATCTATACCAACCCATCACACAGACGGGGAAAACTGAGGCCTGTGTTCTTACTCTTGGAATGGGAAAGCTGGGAGGCCGTGGCAGAACTCCTGACGCATATAGCTTGAGGCTCTCCAGCTGTCACACTGATGGGGTGGAAGGTGCAGAAACTACCTAAAGTCTTGGGGCTCTGGAGAAGGGCTCTCTGCAGCTTTGGGGGTCAATTGGGGATGGTGACACGGCTACAGCTGTGCTAGGGGACACCCCTTCTTGAGATCAGGGATGGAGATGGGTTGGAGGGAAAAGTGTGCGGTCTTTGTCCTCTGCTGATCCTTGTGGGTCCTCTGTTCTTGAACTCTCAAGTTTCCAGGTCCCCGTATCTCCAATACCAGGCCTTGGGGCCCTGAGGCTTTCTGTCTGGAGACCCCTGAATCTTTCATCCTGCCTCTAAATTACCCAGAGTCTCAGAATTACCCAATCTTAGGTTCCTCAGTCCCCCGATCCCCTCCGGCCCACCTGATCTTGACCTCAAATAGGACCCTGATCGCTCGTGGTCCCACATAACTGAGTACCCAGAACCCCGGGTCTCTGTTCCCCTGGGTCCTCAAGACCCCCTGGTATCTGGGTCCCTGGAGCTCTGGTTCATTCCCTTGGATCCTTGTGATCCCAGGTATTGGGGTGCTCAGAACCCCATCTCTGTTTTCATAATGCCCATGTCTCCAGATATCTTGGGTTCCTGAGATTGTGACATCCTGAGATCCTCAGTATCTGTCTCCTTAGAACCCCAGTCTCTGTTACCCTGACTTCCTTTGATTCTAATAGCAGGATACAAGGAACCCCAGTTTCTCCAGCCCAGCTCAGCTTCCTCATAACCCGACACATCTGGTTTAAAAGCTTGTACTTTTTTGTCCCCAGGACACCAGGCTCTGTGTCCTGATTCCCTGACACCCCCATATTTGTACCAGTGGGCATTGTCCCTGGCCCCCCCATGTCACTCAGCCCCTGGGCTCTGCCCCCCAGGGTCCCCAAACCCCCAGATGCTTGTGTCCCAAGGCACAGCTTACTGGCTCCCTGATGATCTCCTATCTGTATCCCTGGAACCTAGGGTTACATCCTCTTGTCCCCCAGGTTCCTGGAGATAGACGGGTTTGTGCCTCCAGCTGTGTCTCCTGGCTCTGGTGACCCTATGCTCTGTGTGGCTCCTACCAGGCCCAGACCCTCGGGGGGCCACTCACCCGGGTAGTACAGCGCCTCCGGCCTGGCCAGGCCGTGGGGGGGCCCGGGGACCGCCGGCAGGTCGCAGCCGCCGCGCAGGGGGTCCAGGGGGACAACAAGGCCCGCAGCGCCGCGGGGAGCGGCGGGCTCCGGGGAGGGCGCGCGCAGCGGGCGCTTGCGGAGCGGCAGTGCGGCGCCCGGGAGTCCGGCGGCCTTGGGTCGGGTGCGCAGGTCCACGGGCCCCTCGTCCATGGCCCCCGCGGGGCATCGGGGCATGGGGCCGCCGGGGACGGCGGCGGGAGAGCTGCTGGGCTCGGCTGCACGGGAGGGTGGTTTCGCCGGGCGCCGGGACTTCCCCTGCAGCCGGCTGAACTGAAGGGACTTTTGTCGGCCGGGGCGGTGCCGGCCGCCCGCCTCCCCGCCCCCGGCCCCCCCCGGGGCCACCCGTACGCCCCAGGGGTTTCCTGGACCCGCCGCTGCTCCCGCCGCTCTGCGGTGCAGCCTGCTGTGCGCCCCGCCCGCGCCGCGCCCCGCTTGCCCCCTCCCGGCCCGCGGCGCCCCGGGCAGCCAGGCCTTGGCGGGGGAGTGGGAGGAAAGGAGGGGTAGGGAGAGAGGAGGCGGGGTCGGAGGGTGGGGGGGTGTCCCTACCCCTGCTGCCAAGGGCCGCTCTCAGTCTCTCTGCCTCTGTTTTTATCTTTCTGGCTCTATCTCTCAGCCTCTCTATCGCTGAGTCTGTAACTGTCTCTCTGGTTCTCCTGTCTGAGTAGGTGTTTCTCTTCGCACCCCCGCGTTTGTCTCTGTATGCTCTGTTCGGTCTCTGTCTCTCTCTTTTGTCTCTTTGTGTCTGTCACCATCTCTCTGTCAGTTGCTGTCTGCTTCTCTGCCTCTCAGGAGGCCTTGGCATCTCTGGGACGCAGGTTCGAATCTCGGTTCCCACTTCCTCGCTGGGTGACCTTGGTCAAACACTTCCCCTCTCTGAGCCGTTTCCTCCTTAGTGGGAGTGAAGAAACGCACCCGGGGCAAGGACTGGCACTCGGCAGGCGGCCAGGAACGATTCCTCTCCCTCCTCTCTTCCATTTCTGCCACTCCACGTGCCTCTTCGGCTGTGGGTCTAAAGGGGCTGGGGGTGGGGTGAGGGTGGGGAGCGCTCTACTGATTGTGTCTCTGTCCGCGTTGGGGGCCCTGCACCCAGCCAGGGCCCCCAGGGCACCGGGGTGGGTGCTCGGAAAATCCTAGGTGCACAGAGAGAAAGAGACATGGAGACAGGCGCAGAGATCTTGAGAGAAAGAGAGATAGCAAGAGACACAGACGCCAGGCCAGAGTCAGCGCGACCGAGGCCGGTGCTGCAGGAGAGGGGAGCACTTTGGCTTCCCCCTTACTTCCCCTCCCACCGCGAAGAGGGGTTGATGGGTGGGGAACAAGCCAGGCGGGTTGGGGGCATGACTCAGGCAGGAGATGGGAGGGAAGGAGGGGGGAGGCGGGACTCTTCCCGGTCTCCTCCCCTTCTCTGCCTCTCCCCGCCCCGGGGTGGGGCCCCGAAGGTCCGGGGCTTTCCCGGATTTCCCTGGGGGCGGGGCAGCCGCTGGGGTTGAGTCCGGGTCACTGAGTCACAGGAGGCGGAGAGGGAGGCTTTGGGCACACAGAGGGCGGGGCATGGTGGCTGCACCCCAGACCTGCCCAGGGGGCTTGCGGCGTCTCTCTGGTTCTCTCCCCCGGTCTCCTTCTGTCTTCGCAACTTGCCTGACCTCCCTCTGGTTGTCTCCCGCCCCGCCCTCTGTCTCTGTCTCCCCATCTCTGTTGCTGTCTCTGTCCCCTGGGACCTTGAAAGTGGGTGTTGGGGCCCAGGGAAGGGACTTTGGCCGGACTCAGGCCCCACCCGAGTGGATCGTTAACCCAGGATGTGAGAAGTGGCTGTGGGGAGAGGCCTCATCCCTTCCCTCCCTGATCTTTTCTGCCTACCCCCTTCATCATAAAACATCCCGGGCACAGACCTGTGTTCAAATTCTGCCTCTACCCGTTGCTCCGGGTGGGACCTTGGACAAGCCATTCCATCCTGAGACTCAGTTTGTTCTTCTGGAAAATGGGACCAATGGCAACCCCTGCCTGCTGGTGTTGCGAGGGCCACAGCAAAGGGAGAGGAGGAATTGGGTTGGATAGGCTGAGTTTTGTGTTCCCTGCCCACCCAACCCCACCCCTGGGGACCCTCAGACACAGGAGAGGGGCGTGGAGCACTACCCCACAGCACAGAAAGGAAAGCTGAAGTTTGGAGGGGTGAGGCTTAGGGTGGGGACCCTCAGAGGTAGGGTCGGAAGGACACCCAAGCCTGTCCCACTCCTGGCATCCCGGGGCAGGTGGTGCAGTGGTTCCATCCTAGCAGGACTGGAGAGGGGAGAAGATGTGATGGGTCCTGCGGGGGCTTCGAAGGGCTGGGAGAGAGCTTCCCCCTGGGAGAGAGGGTGCTGCTGGGAGAGAGGGTGCTGCTGGGAGAGAGGGTGCTGCTGGGAGAGAGGGTACTGAAAGTTCTCTGAGGTTGGATGAGGGATAATAGGGTCTGAAGGAGGAGGATCTGAAGAAGGAAGACAGGTCTGAGAGAGAAATAGATGGGTTAGTGGGAGGAGGGGGAGAGGATCTGAAGGAGGAGGTAAGAGTCTGAGGAAGGAGGCGAGGGTTTGAGAGAGGAGGTGAGGGTCTGAAGGAGGAGGCGGGGGTCTGAGGGAGAAGTTGAGGGTCTGAAGGAGGAGATAAGCATCTGAGGAAAGGGGCGAGGGTTTGAGAGAGGAGGTGAGGGTCTGAAGGAGGAGGTAAGGGTCTGGGGGAGGTGGTGAGGGAAGGGGAGAGTATCTGAGGGAGAGCGCACAGTCTGAGGAGTCTGAGAAGCTCTAAGCGAGGAGACGCAGCTCTAAGGGAGGAGGAGAGAGTTGGAGGGGAAAGAGGAGTCTGAGGGAAGAAGATTTGGAGAGAGTCTGAGGGTAGAGGCCAGATCTGAGGGAGGAGAAAGAGGTTGGGGGAAAAGATCTGAGGGTGGAAGGCATGGACTAGGGGAGGAGGAGCTCATGGGGTGGAGGGGTAGAGAGGCGTGCCTCCGGAGCCAGCGGGGACCAAGGGGAGGGAAGGGAAGGGAGGCTGGGAGGCAGCCCCGCCCTGCAGCTGTCTCTAATTTCCCAGAATCTTCTGCTCTCAGGAAAGTCCCAGCTCCCATAGCAGCCTCCCTCCAATGTCGGGAACGGAGGATGCGGAACCAGGATGGCCGCCCCCACTGTTCCCCCCGCTCCTTGCACCCCAGACGGAAAGGACTAGGGTCTCCTTTCTCTGGGCCTTGGCCTCTGGAGGGCCCCCACCCGCAGGGGCAGCCCCTGGATGAGTCTCAGAAACTTCCCAGAGGAGGCCCGGAAGTTCTGCTTGGTGTCTAACCACTTTCCCCTCATGCAGGCCGCCCTTTGTACCTGTTCAGATCTCCTGCCCAGCTGCTGCTTCTTTTCCCCCAGCCCATCCTGGGAGAGGAAAGGCCAGGAATTTACCTGCTCAAAGTCCTGAGAGGGAAACGAAATTCCATCTGGAAGTCTGTAGGTTTGAGGCATCTTTCTTGCTCTTAGGGGCCTCAATTTCTCTTTCTAAGAGGAGAGAGTAGGGCTGGTCAGGGCCTAAGTTCCCATCTGGCTCAATTATTGGGTCTTGTCCTGCTTTTTTTTTGAGACAAGATCTGTCTCTGTCTCCCAGGCTGAAGTGCAGTGGTGGGATCATAGCTCACTGTAGTCTTGAACTCCTGAACTCAAGTGATCCTCCTGCCTCAACCTCCCAAGTAGCTGGGACTACAGGCATGTACCACAATGACTGGCTAATTAAAAAAAAAAAATTGTAGAGTCAGGGGTCTCACTGTGTTGCCCAGGCTGGTCTCGAACTCCTGGGCTCAAGCGATCCTCCCGCCTCTGTCTCCCAAAGTGCTGGGATTACAGGCGTGACCACCACATCTGGCCTCCTTTGTTTTGAATTGAGGCCTGGGTGCAAGTCCTGTCTCCTGATCCTTAGCTTTGTGACTTCCGGGTGGTTACTTAACCTCGTGGAGCCTCAGCTTCCTCATCTGCAGAGTGGATCACATCAAGAAAATATGACTCTGTCCTATGGAGCCTGATGTATAGAAAGCTCTCAATGCAATTTAGCTATTAGTTTTATAATAATAACAATAATAATAATAATATAACATTATATATTATTATTGCCCTCATCAAATATCCTATGTTTTCTTTTTTTTTTTTGAGATGGAGTCTCGCTCTGTTGCCCAGGCTGGAGTGCAGTGGCCGGATCTCGGCTCACTGCAAGCTCCGCCTCCTGGGTTCACGCCATTCTCCTGCCTCAGCCTCCGGAGTAGCTGGGACTACAGGCGACCGCCACCTCGCCCAGCTAGTTTTTTGTATTTTTTAGTAGAGACAGGGTTTCACTGTGTTCGCCAGGATGGTCTCGATCTCCTGACCTTGTGATCCGCCCGTCTCGCCCTCCCAAAGTGCTGGGATTACAGGCTTGAGCCACCGTGCCTGGCCCTATGTTTTCAATAGCAGGACCTGCTTCATTGGGGAAAATAGGATTCAACATGCTGGGCTTAGAGACATAGTTTTGAGCCCTGGCTCTTTCATGTGCCAGTTGTGTGACCTTAGGCAGGTGGCTTTCCCTCTGTGTGCCTTCCTTGTGACTTTATTATTTTTTAATTTTTATTTTTTGAGATAGAGTCTCGCTCTGTCACCCAGGCTGGAGTGCAGTGGCATGATCTTGGCTCACTGCGATCTCTGCCTCCCTGGTTCAAGCAATTCTGCCTCAGCTTCCTGAGTAGCTGGGATTACAGGTGTGAGCCACCGTGCCCAGCCCCTTGTGACTTTAATAATGGGGAATGGGGCTGGGCATGGGGTATGCTCCTGTAGTCCTAGTACTTTGGGAGGCCAAGGTAGAAGGAAGAATCCCTTGAAACCAGGAGTTCAAGATCAGTCTGGGCAACAAGGTGACACCCTGTCTCTACAATTTTTTTTTTTTTTTTTTTTGAGATGGAGTTTTGCTCTTGTTGACCAGGCTGGAGTGCAATGGTGCAATCTTGGCTCACTGCAACCTCCACCTCTCGGGTTCAAGCGATTCTTCTGCCTTAGCCTCCTGAGTAGCTGGGACTACAGGCTCATGCCACCACGCCCAGCTAATTTTTGTATTTTTAGTAGAGATGAGGTTTTACCATATTGGCTGGGCTGGGCTCGAACTCCTGACTTTATGATCCACCCACCTCGGTCTCCCAAAGTGCTGGGATTACAGGTGTGAGCCACCACGCCAGACTTACAAAAAATTTTTAAAAATTAGCTGGGCTCAGGGGGCACCTGCAGTCCTAGCTACTTGGGAGGGTGAGACGGAAGGATCGC